CAGCATGCTGACCATGCTGCACAATTTCTTGTGTCTCCACCTTTGCTCCTGGCACCTCCTACAGCCGGCGAGTTGTCTTTTCTCCACAGTCCCAACAACGGGCCTATCAAAAATGAGTCCATCCTTTGAAGTCCAGTTTCTACATCATATTCACCTGGTGCTCCAGTCTGAATGCTCATTTTGTAGAGTCTGAACTGCCACCCACTAGGATCCTTAGAATGTACTGCCAAGCACTACAGGCATGTAAGCAGTTCAACTTCCCATGTGTTCCCTGCAGAGTAGGGGTAGCCCCTTGCTTCTCACTATAGACAACCCACCCAATACAGCACTTAACCCAAAACTTTAAAAAAACTATATGGGATGTTTAGCTCTGAAAAAGGTAGAAATAAGCATCTAGCACAGAATCAGTCCATGACAAACCAGGCTTACAAATGAAATGAGTTTAGTCTCTATTGGGCTAGGTGTTCAAAACTAAAACTAAAGAGATAAGAAAGAGAGCTACAGCATGTGCCTTCACACTTTTCCTCTCCCTCCAGAGGCTCTACTTAGTTGGGGTAGATCGAATTGTCTTCTTGCTGACCTTTGTCACATCTAAAAACAGCTCTGCCAGGTCACTGAGGAGGTGCTCCTGTCTATGGTCCAATGCTGGGAACAGAAGACAGAGCTGCACAAAAGGCTAGGATTTAAAGAGCAAATCCTCCAGGTGCCAGACCCAGACATCTTTGGTCATGTTAAGAGAAGGTATATACGTCACTGTGGCCTGAGTAATCAGAAAATGGCAATGTATGTAAAAACTTAAACAGAAATTATTTTTGGATCACCCATGAGTAAGTATTATTCATAACATGGGCTCCCTTGCACATAATGAAGCCTGTTTTATCAGGTATCACCTTAACAACAAACACCATATAATTTATCTACCCAAAATAAAGTATCAGTGCTCAAATTACAATGAAGAGGCCTGGTTCATTTTCTCAGAAGTGCAGTGACAGGACACTCTCTGTGATTTATAGAAACTTACTAACACTCAAGTCTTGAATGTGGTTTAACACAAACAGCTTGAGAGGAAAGAACTATGCATCCAAGGTAAATCTGAGATGCTCTGCTGATTCACTGCTGTTTCACCTACTAATTTTTCATTTTATGAGCATATTAAAGGGAGGCATATGGTTATAGAGAAAATGAAGAAAAAGCAAGAACAAATTACAGGATATTGTACAACTGTTACACTAAAAGATTTAATGTGCAGCTATTCTCTTGGGTACCCAGGAGGTTACCCATTCACCTAAACCTCTCTATAAACAGTTGGTTTTTCACAGTCACAGTCACTAGTCCCACTTCGGTGGGCAGCAGTATTCAGAGAAAAAGCCGACTTTAGCTCCTGTGGAACAAATACCAGAAACCAGAAGAGCCAGGAAAGCTGTGTTATGTCCATGCCCACCAGGTACACTTCTCTGAATCAACTGCACGGAATCCACTTGTAAGAATGGAAGTCTTCTCAATGGGTAACTGCTTATCTTATATGGGCTCAATATAGAAGAACAATCGCGGACAAGAGGTGTAGCTTAGTGGTAGAACACTTGCTTAGCATGCTCAAGGTACTAGGTTCAAACACCCCAACCAAATAAATTTGGTTTCAAACACTCTTTTTTTGGCTGTACTGGAATTTGAACACAAGGCTTCACACTTGCTAGGCAATCTATCACCTCTTGAGTCATTCTTGCTTTGGTTATTTTAGAGATAAGATCTTGCTTTTAGTGCAGGCTGGCCAGGACCAGGAAGCTCCTATTTTACACTGCCTATTGTCACTGGTCTGACAAGTACACACTACCATGCGCCCAACTATTGTTTGAGACAAGGTCTAGTAAATTATTTGTCCAGACTGGCCTTGAACTGTGAGCCATGTGCCTGGTTCAGAATAAAGATACAGATGTCATACCACTTGAATTCTGAAAACAATTCTAAGGGCTAGGAATTATCATCCAATTATGCAGACACGGAAATTAAAGGACAGAGGGCCGAATAATCTTCCTAAGGCCTGTAGCAAATGAGTAGCAGAGGAAGCAAGAATGGCCACTTTGTTCTTAGCAATGGCTAAAGGTGTACAAAGCTTTTATAAGGATGGTAGCACCTATCAAATACTCATGCAAAGAACCACCATTTCAGAGAAAATAACTTGGCATTCCCTATCAGTATTTCACCTGAACAGCTCAAAGCAGACTGCACAGTTAAAAGAGACCTTCAAGTACTACAGTTATGGTAAGGCCAAGAATAGAACACAGGTCTGCTGATCTTTGCTCCTATGCCCAACCAGGCATGTTCTTTCAGATGCTAATTCCCTTCTGATGTTTCAAGTCACTTAAGAATAGCAAAGAAATGAGTTAATAATTCTGGCACATAGAAGAGTGTATGGAAAGTATCTAGACTAGGGGGATTTGCTGTAAAAAGGGCATGACCATAAGATTTCTACCAAGGAAGTTCTGAACCAAGAACACTGATACCTACAAATTTTTTCCATCTTCTGTGGCAAAAATGAAAAATGACCTTTGCCCTCCACAACCTGGGCTGTGAATCATTAGCTTGGCTATGCTGATAACTAAGGAAAATACAAGATGAGTGCCTCTCCCAGCTGATTAAAATACTTACAGATTTACCTTACTACCAAACTCCTCCAATGCAATCAATACTCTGAATGCGTAGCAAATACCAGCCACAGTAACTCCTCCTTCGCTGCAAACCACACTCCCCTGTTTTGCAATGATGGTGCCCTGATGAAGAAGTTGGAACAACCATGACAGAGGCTAGGGAAAGGTCTCAGGTCACAAGGCTGATGCACCCAGAGAGATAGGCAGGCTGTTCACTGAGTCAGAAGTTGGTAAGGGGTAACAAAGAGTGAGTGAATAGATTAGAAGAAACTGAATTTCTGATTTCTAAGTAGAAAAACAGGTAAGAAGAGCCTTACCTACCTTCAAGATTAGTCAGGTCTGTTTCCACAAAGGAATATGCTAGATGAAAATTATATGGCTTTTCCAAATGATAGAAAGTAGAGTTTTGGTTGAGTGCTTAATCACGCTATTGTGTTTATTTTTTTTAGAAGGGGAAAAAGATTCTCCAAACCAAATTCATGATTTACAACTTTTAGCAGAGCAAAAGGACAGATAAAACTTGACGTGAGGTTATAACCTTGCCGATCTCAACTTCAAGACAAATCTATTCACTAATCTCTCTTTTTTTCACTCAGCCAAACCAAAACTCCTACACTTGGGTCAAGGCATTTTCTTTTTTTTTGGTGTCCCCCCTTCCCCCTCACCATCTTTTTGCCTTGTTTTGTTTTTGGCTGTACTGGGGGTTTGAACTCAAGGCCTCACACTTGCTAGGCAGGTGCTCTTATGGCTTGAGCCATTCCACCAGTCCAGACTGAGGTCTGAGCACAAGGCTTCATGCTTATGAATGAAGTAGGTGCTCTACCACTTGAGCTACAATTCCAGTTGGTTTTGTTCTGGTTAGAGACAGGGGCTCTTCAACTCTCTTGAACTATTTGCCTGGGGTGGTCTTGAATCACAATCCTTCCAATCTCAGCTTCTCAAGTAGCTAGAAGCCAGGACTACAGGTGTGCACCATTGGTGCTCAGATTTTAGTTTTTCCAAGTATGTGTCAAGCAAAAATAACTGAAATCCTCAAGAAACTTAAGAGCATTTATTTCACTGTTCCACATTAAATATCTCTTTACAACTTGTTCTAGAAAGGAGAAATAAGATTATATAAATCGGTTCCAGAATACATTTTACTTTAATAATAAACAGATTTCTCTCTTTAACAATTCTCAATGACCATGTCAGCAAATTTAGATACGTGATAGCTATTAAAAACAATCTAATTACTATTGATACAAGTCATCAATTTATACTAGGCTGCACTTGAAATGTTAGAATCTTTCTTCCCTGTTATCTGAGTCCTTAAGGTACTAGATAGTAAGTCCAGAAAAACAGAAAACAAGATCTCCCCTGTCCCCTCGTGGAACCGGTTTTTTTAAAAGAATCAAACTGAAGTAAGCAAGCAACACTCAATAGAAAACAAAATAGCAAACCAACAAAAAGTCCCCCACCTACTTTTACAATGGATAATTCTTCATTCATCAACTACTTCCTAAAGAAGCAATCTGAAGTGCACAGATTAAAAATCAATCACAGCCCTCCCCCCAAGTGTGAGCACTTCCGGTTAAGAGCAGGGTGTAGTGGGTGGTCCCGCTCCTCCCCCACATTCCTCAGAACCACCTGTAAGAAGATCCGGAGAGCAGGCAATTTCAGGTAAATGCCACTGAATCCCTTTCCAGCATTAATTATACTCTCTGAAGTTTCCTTAGCAAACCCTCCCACTCCAAGTTTATCAGAAAGTATTTGTCAAATCTGACCCCAGCTTTGTGGAATAGTTATTTTTTTAAAAGCTAAATTAAGCAATTTATTAAAACCTTGGAGTATCAATCAAATATAAAGTGCAAACTTTTAGGATTGGGCGGAAATATTAAAGATTTAAAGCTACTCTTGTAAAGCAACATTAAGTAAAGAGGGGGAGAAAAACAACAGAATTCAAAGCACAGTAAGCTACAAACCCCTTAATTCTGTTGTTTGGCATGGTGGATGATTTACCAATTACCAAATCCAAAGCAGTGATAAAATGACATTTCCTATGTCAGCCACTGGATTTAAAATTAGACGTTAACGCTCTCACAGTCCCTTCCCCCACCTCTGTTTCTAAAGACCTTTCTGTTCCTACACTTAGGACACGATCTTCTGGAGGATAAGCATGTCACTTTACTATCTAAAATCATGAGCTAAAATTAAAAGTCAAGGAAGTAGAGCGAATAGAATTCTAGCGGCCTGCCTGAGTCTGAGCACAGCATAGGGTTAAAGGAAACCATTTCAGAAGATCAAATGCGGAGAAGCAGCAGGAGCAAAGAAGAAAAAAAAAAATCAAGTTACATAAAGTCTGATTGTACTCACTGTTTCCTTATTGGGAAGCAGCTCCTTTCTAATTCTGAAGAAGTTCTTGCCGTACTGCCTGAGTCCCTTAACGAAGCGTTTCTGTGATAAAAAGAAACAACAAATGGGATGTAAAAACCAAAACCAAAACAGGATGTCAGCAAAGCAAAGATATCTGCAATCAGCAGAATAACAACCACAAAAAAAGTCTGAGCTAGGGAGTATTGACTAGGCAGTTAAGAGTATTTCAGCCGCACAGCTGGGACCCGCTGGCCAGGGCAGCACTCCCCCTCCACATCCCACCCCACCCCCCAACCTTCATGAGAAGGACAACCAGTGTCTGAAGCTAAGACAGTCCCCTCTGACACTAGGCACAGTGTGGCCCAGGAAGGAATAAACAACCAGTATGTCCCGCGTTTCAATAAAGCAGCAACCAGCTTTCCACGCGAAAACGAAGCTTCACCACAAGTGTAGCCGAAGGGGGAAAACAGAACCAGACCTGGTGCCTCCTATCCAAAAGAGTGCCCTGAAGGGCTCAAAGGCCCTTTCCCTAATCCTAGGAATTTAGCAGAAGCCCACGGGGAGCCCCAACCCAGCTGGCCCGCCCTGCCATATTCGTCATTAAAAGGCACTCCAAATAAAGATCCATCGGCACCTCCGCCTTCCTCCAATGCCCCTCTCCATTTTCGTAGCTGTCTCAGATTCATTCCCCCAGCCCAACCAGGAGACTTTCACTTTGTTCCATTCCCCCCAGCAGCCCCTCCCACCCTACCCCAGCCCCCACCTCGGGGCTCCGAGCCGGATCCCAGGCGGCCAGCCCAGCAGCCACAGGTAAGCACGGGTGCGGAGCGGCGAGGGGCCGCCGTCTGTCACTCTGCGCCGGCTCCACAAAGCGCAGGGCGGAGGCGGCCGTGGGCAGCTCGGCGTGTGACCGCGGCGGGGCCGCGCGACGCGGGGCGCGGGGGGCGCGGAGCTGGGGCCGCTGCTGCCGCCGCCGCCGCCTCCGCCGGGGGAGGAGGCTGGAGCACAGCGCGCAGAGCCCGGCACGGCCGCGGGCGGCTGCAAAAGGCGGCCTGGATCGTTGCGCCGCCTGCCCGCCGTCCTCCGTCCGGGTTGGGGCCCCCACGCTCGGCACCGGCCCCGCCCCTGGCCCCAGCCCCGGTCCGACCCCCGCCAGGCAGCCGGAGCCTCCCGGCCCGCGCTGGTATCTCAGGGTCCTCCTTCCAAGCTGGAGCAGGCCGAGAGCAAAGCACAGAAACTTCCTCCCCACCGTGGCGAGCTGGGGGAGAGGGCACCCGCGGTGTGAGGACCCTTCTTAGGCCGCTTGATCTTCAGCCCACACTTCCTCCGGGCTCACACACCGGCAGCAACTCGCCGCACGCTCACTAGCGTCTCCACTGCGAAAAGGGGGTCAGGGGACCTGGCGGGGCCCCTTCCCGCCCGCGACTGTGGGCGGCCCCTCCCAGCCAGCACCCGGAATTAGCCTGCACTTTGCGGGGCGCCGTTCCACAACTAAATCACCGCGGAAGCATCCCAGCCAATAAATCAACTGCCCACCGGGGAGAGGGGCCCCCCACTCCCGGTGTTTGAGACAGGCCAAGCAAACTGAGAGAAAGGCCGGCCTTCTCCTGCAAGAGCCATCTGCAATCTCCTGCTCCCGTTCTGGACGCTTTGTGGTTTCAGATTTTGCCCCTTGCTAAGATATGACTCATCATTGTCAATTTTCAATATAGTTCATACAGTTCAAAGGAAAAATCTGTCAAGGCACCAGAAAGCACACTTTCCTTTGGTCTGAAGAGGAGTGACTACAGTTACTTGATTAAAGCTATCAGCCATATGATCAACAGGCATCCTAGGCAGGGCACACAAGGGAGGTATGGCAAGAAAGAGATGACCCCTGCCTTCAAGCAGCTCCAGTAGGCCCAATGGAGCAGCTGGGTAAACAGATGGATCTTGGGCCTATAAGGAAAGCTTCAGAGGAACAAAGAGTGGTGGGTGGAACTAGGAGGAAGAAGCACCTTGCTCTGCTTGTTAATGTCTTAGAGGAAGTGACAAGGAAGAGTCTGCATCTGCCAGGTGGGCTTCAAATCAGCCAGGAAGGGCACACAGAACATCCTGGGAACTGCCAGGAGTACAGAATGTGCAGTGAGTAGGCAAGGATCCGGTTGCAGAAAGCCCTGAAGAGTTAAGTCCTATTGGTAGGCCAGCCAGAAGTGTTGAAGCATGAGATTTCCCTGAAAAGACCAGACAATACCAGACTCCAGTGACAGTGTGGCCCAAGTGTGGATTAGGGACACACCAGGGTCAGAGCCAGTGACATAACTCAGGTATGCAACGAAGAGGAACTGAAGCCATTCGTTAAGTATTTAAGAATTAACCAAGCACCTAGCAATGGGAGGGATTAAAAAAAAAAATAAAGGTTGTGTTGGACCTTTATTGAAATTGTGCCTCGTTTTTAGCAGGTAAGAGAAATATGCTTAGAGTCACTACAGAACATTCCAAGACACCACCTGGCCAAGCATAAAGTAGTGAGGCAGCTCCTTAACGGGGCAAGGCAAGGGAGCCCAGAAGAGGGACGGGATGAAGTGGCCTCTGGCAGTTCAGATCAGCTTCACCAGCGCAGGGAGGCAGAAGCCAAGTCACCATGAGGGGCAGCAATGGTGGAGGTGAAGATGAAGGGGCTGTGGAGAGCACTCCAAGAGGAAAGAAGCGGAGAGTGGGACTGGGCTATGGAAAACAGAGTCTACACAGAGTTGAGATGGGCCATCTAGCACAAATCGGATAGTAGGATGCCAGAATCATGCGATCAAACGTGGGCTTGATGCCAAACAACACACAGCAGATTCATCACAAGAGGCCAACACAAGGAGGCAGCATGTGAGAAAGGTTGATTCTGGGACATCAGAGTGATGTAAACGAGTTCAGATTCCATTTCTTCCATTTATTATGCTGTAATCCTTTGAACATCATTTCAAACCTATTAACCTATTATGGAAGGCCAGGAACCTCCATATATTTATTGAAAATCCTCCCAACTTCACAAGAGAATACTATCATTATCCCCATACTATGGACAAGGAAGCTGAGGCACAGTTAAGCAACCAGATTAAGGTCACTCAGCTCCCCAGAACTCAAATCCTGCCTCCCAAATCTATGTGCTTTATTGCCACTCTCTGTAAAATGCAGCCTACAGTGGTGTCTATTTCCTGATATGGCACCATTACCTAATGCTGGATCTGTGAGTCCAAGTCCTCACAGAGGACAGCTCACCAAGTCCTCAGTATCTTGAGGAAAGGCTGCTCAATACCTTCCTTCCTGCACATCCTAGTGTTAGTTCCAGGCCATGCCTTCATTCCTTTCAAAGGGACCTAGCTTGTTAGCCCACTAGCCAGCCTGTTACAAGCCTCTGGCAAGGAAATTTTAAAACTACAGCAGATTTCACCATGAGTCCTGAACTATCTTCTCCCTAGCCCCTTACCTACAAATAGCATTTTGACCTCTGCAGGACAATGTTTATACTCCTCAGCCCTAAATTCAAGGCTCTTGGGGATCCTATCCCGGCCTACCTTTCCAACCAGTTGTCCAACAATGCCAAATGGCTCATACTGTAGACACTTTAAGGTTCATCTCAAACCCAAGCCCGAGTCCCTCCCACTCCAAACTGAAACTTCCCTGACTGGTCCTGCCCCTTCGTTTATTTGTGTAAGACCTCATTTACCCAAAGAGTGTCTAAATTCTGCAAAGACAGGAATGCTGTCTTCTGCCACTTTGCCTCCCCCTATGGCACTAGGCAGTTATGTTCACCAAGTTTTAGGAATCAACCATGAGATGGGGAGGGTGGTCAGAGTGGACCTCTTGGCTCTACAATGCCAAACTCTATTTTTCTTCCTGTCAATTGGCCTAATTCTCTTCTCAACTGCTAAATGTTTGAGATTCCTCAAAGCTTTGCTCTAAGTTTTCTGTTCTCCAAAACCCCTCCCAATATTATCTCTGGTGTTCCTTTGGCTCTAAATATCATCTAAGATTCTTACTAGTATTTCTAAGGAAAAATCCATGACCCACTCTCATTGAGTCAACACACCTGATTGTCTCTCTCATAAGCATCTCAAACTACTTCCAGAAACAGGAATTTGGTATCTGTTGGTGAACTCAGACCTACCATAGCTGTCCATATATGTCAAAAACTATGCTATCAAGTGCAAAGCACTCTTGGCTCCACTCTTTAAAAAAAAAAAAAAAAAAGAGGAAGTAAAAGCTTCATGTGGTAGGTACTGTTACTTCTCTATGGAAAGCCACAAGGCCTCAAAACCAGCAAAACATCTGCTTCTGAGACACCAGCTTTTACCTTGTGGTTTACCAGAAATGCAGAGTAGCCTTTAAAATCGAAACAAAGCCAACCCCTTCAGAGCACTGAGAGACTGGAATAAGGCAGAAGCTCTTTTCCCTTCATGAATCCAACTCTCTTCAAAAGAAGACTTCAATGGTTTCCAAGACTAATTTAATAATTGTCTACTGACTTTTTATAAATAGGTACTAAAAGTCTCTAAATGAATGTTCACAGACTTGGTCTGTTTCTTGACAGTCTTTTAGAAGTTAAGCTAGAATTAAAGCATTTCCAGAACTGAAATTCAAGTTCTCATGTACTATTTTTATGTCCATTAGTGTTTCTGCCCGACAATATCTACACATTAGAAAGAATGCCAGGCTGCTGAGGGTGAAGGAGGAAGAAGAATGTGTGCATTCAAAAGGTGGCTCAGTCATGCTGCCAGGGCTAAGCAGCCCTGCTTTTATGCTCCATAGGCCTGTAGTGCAACCACATTCTGATGCATGAGCCGAGGGTCTCAACGTTAGCACTTGTTACTCTGGTGCTCTTCATGTTCAACCAACCTAAGTGTGCACCCGAAACACAAAGTAAGTCATTTTCTATTTTTGCATCATCATGGCCAGGTGACACCCAAACAGAAATATGTATTTATTGATGGCAAAGAGCTTCTTTGCTTTATGTTACAACTTAGTTTATGATTGCTCCAAGTTTTAGACAAACTGTTACAGTTCATTATTGAGCCGAAACATCACATCAGCATGTCAGAAGTTATCTAACC